AAAGAAATATTAGGGCTGTCCATACAGTTGCCAATAAATAAATAGGTAGATCGATACACACATACATAGAAGAGCAAAGGTGCAGGACTAACACTACTGAACTTTAAGACATATTTTAAAGTCCAAATAGGACCAAAGAAATATGGACAACTCATTTTCAACAAATGTACGAAGAAACAAATGGTTATCCATATGCAAAAAATTGAACTCCAGTCCATACTTCACACGCTATGCAAAAATTTCATCCAAATGGATCCTGTGACCTTGGATTAGGCAGAGATTTCTTAAAAAACACATCAACGAAAGGAAGAACCATAAAAGAACAAACTGGTAAAGTGAATTTCATCAAAATTCAAAACTTGTGCTCTTTGGAAGATACTGGTAAATAATGAAAAGATAATGGCAAGCACTAATGAGGATGTGACGGAGCTGGAATTCTCATATATTGCTGGTGAGTAATAGATGGTACAACTTCTTTGAAAATACATTTGGCAAACTTTTCTCACAAAGCTCAACATACATCTACCATATGATATAGCCATTCCTCTCCCAGGTATTTACCAAAGAAAAATTAAAACAAATGTTCATATAAAGACTTCCACGTGGAGGTTCATAGCAGCTTTATTTATAATAGCCTAAACCCAGAAACAACCCAAATATAGGAAACAACCCACTTGGTATCTATCATCAAATGAATGAATAAACAAATTATGGTATATCTATATAATGGAATACTCTACCATAAAAAGAAATGAACTATCAATACAACATGTATGAATCTCAAAATAATTATGCCAAGTAAAAGAGGCCAGACTAAAAAGAATACAGTACTTCATGTATGTTTCAATTTATATAAAATCCTAGAAAATGAAAACCAATTTTATAGAGACAGAGAGCAGAACAGTGATTGTCTGAGGATGAACAGTGGGAGAAAGGGGTTACAGAGAGGCATGAGGGAGCTTTTTGGGGTGATAAATATGCTTGCTATTTTGATTGTGGTGATGGATGCATGGAAACATCAAATTTTAAACTTTAAATGTGGTAGTTTATTGTATGTAAATTATACCCTCAATGAAGTTGTTAAAAATTCTTATTCAACTTTGAAAAATGTACAGATTCCATTTAATATAGTACATAATCTCAGTTCTGTTTAAAACATGTAAAATCTGCCTATATGAGGTCAATCTTCCTCCCATGGGCAATAATCCTGAATGGAAGGTATTGCTCCCTTCACAACCAATGTTTTTTTCTTTTAATCAGACTGTTCTTGAGCTTGCTTTTATTAATATCTATGATAGAATTTTACTTTTGTTTCAGTGATGATTTTCTCACAAACTGGTTTTTCTTCAAGTGTTTTTTGTATTTGTAGTCATCATGTTTAGATTTTGTTTGACATGGTATGGTTTGAGTAACTTCCTTGATTTTTTACTCATCTGAGACCTGTTTGAATTATAAAGGCTGGTTACTACATTCTATTCATTTCTCTGTAGCCTAAATGAAATGGGGTGTGTGTGTGTGTGTGTGTGTGTGTGTTTGTGTCATATGTGCAAGAACAAAGGGAAGGAAAAAAGGGTTCTACTAGAGGGTAAAGGTAATCCTTGGTGTGTTTGTGCCATATGTGCAAGAACAAAGGGAAGGAAAAAAGGGTTCTACTAGAGGGTAAAGGTAATCCTTGTATAACTGCCTGGTGGTCAGTTAGGAATTCGAAATTACATTCATTGATGGAATGCCCTTAGGGTTTGTACTGTTCACGCATTTCACTAGAGCCTTAGAGTTTTCTTCTGTTACGGCTGAGATTTAGTATCAGTAAGAAAGGCTGTTTGTTTTTAACTTGACTTTCATTACTGATACTGTCTCCCTGTTCATTTACCTTTAAATTTCTAAGTACCTACTGTCACCTTTTCTCAGTACTGTTTTTAGGAAGGTGAGAAAGAAGTTAAACATGACATCAAGCCACTTAGGAATCTACTGTGCCTTTTTTTGGTCAAAATTTTCCCAATTCTTTTTAATTGCTACTACTAAACTTTTGTACTACTTTTCACTTTTTCTTGGGGTGAGGGGACAAGTGTTTTTAACGATATATCCTGTACTAAGCTTTACGCTGTTTTGTTTACTGAGATTACAAATTGGGCATTTATAAATGTTTGAGGTTTACAATATAAATATTTTCTGGGCAAATATAAGCATTTTTCTTATGAACATATGAATTAATCTAACACTTAATGGTCAAGGCTTTTTATTTATTGAAGATGGAAAACCTCATTTTGTGAAGCAGAAGCAAACAAAAATATTTGTTTTACTAGAAGATCATGTGTAACTTTTTCTACAAGATACTTACCAGGTTCTACTTGAAAACTAACTTTCATAGGACTTTTAAGAATTTAATCAGTAAAACTAACCAGAGCTTCCTCAAATTTAGTTATCCCCCCAAGAATGTTACTTTCAGGAAAAAATAAAAGCTGAAAGAATAAATAAGACGATTTTAGAAAAATGGACCAGTGGTTACTGTTTAATTACTAAATCTTTTTTTTTTTTTTTCTTTTTTCGGCTTGGCCAGCAGGGATCCAAGCCGTTGACCTTGGGGTTATAATACCACTCTAACCAAATGAGCTAA